AGAGATCTGGGACAAGAAACCTGCCTCTCTCCTGCCTGAACAAAGCAAAACCTGTCAAGACAAGAGGAAGGAGACACCCCAAATTCCTCCCCTGCTGCAGACTCCAGCGACATCGGGTGAAAAAAGAGGCACAACCCCACACAGAAGCCAGGATGTGCAGATGGAGCAAGGGATCAGCACCTTGGGCTTTTAATATTTGGAGCTGATTCTCTTGCCCTTCTCATTTCTCGGCACCAAACCAGCCAGGGAATCAATGCACCAAAGACCCAAGAAGTGATATGGGAGAGGATGTGCCCTGCAGCTTGCACAGTGCCTATCTCCAGCAGGAGTGCGGAGGGTGCCCTGGCATGGTCAGGACCTGTGATGGTTTAAGTACATGGGTGCTTGGGTCCATCCCGAAGCCTCCCCACTGACTATTGCCGAATGCCTGAGAGCTCAGAGCCAGACTCTGCAGTCATGGAGGGGCCTCCTTGCTGCTTGCTCCAGGCTGCACCCCAAATCCATGCACCTGAGAACCTTCCCTGAGCTTCCTAAGAATAACTGGGGACCACTCAGCCCATTGGGTCACCACTTACAGCCTCAGCCATTGGGGCTGAATCCTGCATCAGCGGGACCAGGGGGAGGCCGAGACTGGAGTATCCTCAAAGCAATGCTCACAAACCCCCCTCTCCAAAGAACAAAGCTGCAATCTCTCTCTGCAGATGCAGAATAACCAGCCAGTGATGATGATTTATTTCTCTTCCCCAGTAGATAAATCGGCCTTGGATAGGGGTTTGTGCTAAATTACAATTTGCATGTGGTAATATATTTAAGCAACTTTCCTTCCACTGGGTTATAAACAGGGTTTCTCTGGGGGTTATTTCCGAGCTGGCCCCGTTTCATTTCTCTCCAATACACCCAGCACAAGGAGCTTAATCGTCAGCATGGAAATTAAAACCACAGTGGAAGAAACACCCCTAAAAATCCATAAAACCAAGGTCTGGGGTTTGTAGGTAGCCTGAGGAGCCCCAGGTTGGAATCAAATAATCACCCCAGCATAGGCACTGGCTCTTGGCCTCAATAAAAATGATTACAGACAAAACCCCACTGAAATTTCCACTCCACAGCCACGTTCGGCTTCCAGCGGCTCTCCCCCTCACCAAGGCACCAGGGCCAGTGCTTTGGGAAGGCCAAAAGGCGGCTGCCGAGCCCCAATCCTGCCGGGAGGGCAGGGCTCTTCTCCCGGAGAACAGCGAGTGGGTTTTTACATTCGGTTCTCTAGCTTTATGATATCACATACACTCATACAGCTAGATAACCAAAGAGAAAAACCAACCCAGGTCTTTAAACAACGGGCCTCGGCCACGCCGCGCACCCGGGGGTGGTTTGGCTCCGATGCTGGAGCCCCGCAAGGTGGCCGCATCCACGTTCCCTCAATAAGGAAGAAACCCCAGTGGTTTGGGTGGGAGAGCAGGAATCTGCTGCGGCACCTTGGGATGCAACACATGACCCCGGCGCTCCTCGATGCCCACCCAAGCTCCCCAACTCGACGTCTGCACGCCAAAGGGCACCTGCACCCTAGAGCAGTCTCCACCCATGGCCCCGGGACCATCGCAGGGCAGGATGCTCCCACAGCACCCATCCCCATTACCTGCGGCCCAGGGACCTGCTTCCTTCCCAGCTCCAAATTCACCCCCAAACCCAGCCCAGAGCCCACTCCCACTTTACAGTTACTGTAAATTACTGGTACGGAACTGCTGAGTCATGAGAGCGGCTGGGGAAGGGACAGGCACAGCCAAAAGGGCCCCCCCGGGGGGTTCCACTGCACCCTCCAGTTCTCCCTCCCATGCCTGCTGCACCCTGCAGCCCGGCCCTGCACACCCTGGAAGGACCTGCACGTCCTGGGGCTCCGGGCTCTGAATGTCCTCTGTGGGGGAACACCTTCCCTCACCCGTGCAGCCCCGTCCTCGCCTGCCCTTGTCCGCAGGGATCATTCGCCCCGGCCGGGAGGCTCCGGGCACCGGTTCCGGGCACCGGAGGCGATGCTCCCGGGGAACTGCCCAAGCCGGGAGGCTCCGGCCGTGCTGCAGCTCTGAGGGAAACTCGGCGGAGAGGCTGCCCCCGGTCCCAAGCGGGGGACGGGGAGAGGACAGGGGACCCCGGGAAGGGGACAGGGGAGGCTACCGGGGAAGGGGTGCCGGGGAAAGGGTCCCGGGAAGGTGGGTACCTGCTCTCCCCTCTGTGGCCGGTGCTGCCAGCGGTCGCCGTCGGCTCCGGGTCGCCGCATCCTTCCCAGGCTGTGGCAGGGTAGGGAGGAGGCTCGGGCCGGGAGGGAGGCTGGATGATCCCGCCCGGTGCCAGTGCCGGTGCGGGTCCCGCTCCCACTCCCCGGCGCCTCCGGGACCTGCCACTAAAGTTGAGGCAGAGCCGTCGGCGGAGGATGGCTGGAGGGCGGGGGAGGGCGGGAGGAGGGACGGGGCGGCCGGCGGGGACAAAGCGCGAGCGGCGGGGCTGGGACAGGCCGGGCGTGGGGCCGGGGCAGGGGTCACCCCCCGGGGGGGCAGCGCCATTCGCCATGGCGCCGCGGTCCCCGGGGGCCGCCCGTCTGCTCGCCCCGAGCCGCCCCCCCTCCCGACCCAGCCTCCTGCAGCGCCCGGCCCGCCCCATCGGGGAGGCGGCGATGCCCCGGGGGTAACCCCGTTGTGGCAAGGCTGTGGCACAGCCCCCCCCGGCAAAGATAGGGGTTAAACCCGACTGGTCCTAGGCGGGGAAGCAGCCGGGGGTGGGCGGCCGGACCCTCCCGTCGAATCTGCACTCACAGGCCCCACTTACTAAGCTTTTTTTGCGGCTCTTTGGCCGTAAAACCGGGGTCGACACCTTCCCCCTCCCCTCATCCCGGGAGGTGCCAGAGTCCCCCGACCAACCGGGCCTCGGCTCTGCCCCACGGCCAGAGAGGAACCCCTCGGGCCCGGGACAAAGAGGGGCCGCGGCTCGGAGGGGCGGCGGGGAACAGCCCGGGACTCTGTGCCGAGGTCCGGCTCCACGTCCCCCCCGTGCGGCCGCCCGGGGCCGGGCCCGGCTGGCTCTGCCCGGTTCAGGAGACCCGCTCCTCTGTCCCGGCAACGGCGAGGCCGCACCGGCAAGGGGATGAGGGCAGCGGACTTCCCCCGGCACCCGCAGCCGCCTCACACCGGGAGCGGACCAGCGGGCACAGCCGTGACCCCGTGCGCGCTCTCCCACCCAGGGAAGCCCGGCTGCGGGTGCACACCCCCGGGAGTACACGAAGGTGCAAACACAAGCCCCGATGCACCCGCAGGAGCGCTCACGCCGATGGGCACATTCGTCCTGATGCCCTACGGCCCCTCACAAGAACCCGCGCACACGCACCCCTGCGCAGGACACCCTGGCCTCTCCCCAGCTTCCTCCGCACCCTCGGGCCCCCCAGCCTTGCCCCGGCCCGCCGGGCGCCGCAGACCTCCCGGGGCCGCTTCGTCGCACCTCGCTCTGGTGAAACGGCGGAAAACGAAACCAACCGGTGGCCCGAGCATAGCAGCGGCCCCGGCCCCAGGCACAGCGTCGTGCCGGTGCCCCGGCTGTGGGCAGCTCCGGGCGGGCTCCGCTTCCAGAGAGGACCAAGAGCAGCGGGTCCGGGTGGGCGGTGGGGCCCGGCTCCCGCTCACAGAGCTCCGGTTCCGGGAACGAGGCACGGGTCCACCCCGACCCCCGCTGCCCACACCAGCCCTTTTATATGTAAGCACCTAAACAGATATAAAATACGTGATATACATCATATACATACATAAATATCCGCCCTTGAAGGCGCTGGGAGCGATGCGCGGCGGCGCTTGCAGAGATGCCAACCCGCAAGCACCGGGGGCTCTTCAGGAGCTTTCTGTCCCTTACCAGGGTCCCCGGGTAGGGGAAGCCCTTGACAGGAGTCCCAACCGCAAACGGTGGCCTCAAGGAGCGGGGCGAGCACGTTCCCACCGGCATCGGGCACCGGGAACCGGGCACCGGGCACCGGCCCCGCCGCTCTCCGTGGTGCTGAAGCGGCGCCGCGCCGGGGGTCGCGCCTCCTCCGTCCTTCTCTTTCCAAGCTGCCACTAATTACTTATTATTATCGCTAGTCATTATTATCGTTACCATCCCTGCCGTTCCCGTCGCTCCGGTGCACCGCGGCACGGTCAGCCGTTCCGAGCGCGAAGATGGTGCCAACGAGGCAGCGCCAGTTGCCAAATTAACGGATCCTTCTCCCCGCACACCCTCGGCAGCTGCCAACCGCGCTCCCTTCCCGGGGTCCGCACCACTCGTGGCCAGAAACGGTGCCGTTACCTCCGTGGCCGGGTTCCCAAATGACTCTCCTGACCGGCCCCGGGAGGCGTCGGCCCCGCAGGCTCGGCCCCGCTGCCGTCCACACCGCCCGGGGCCCCGCCGGTCCCAGCCCCGCTCCGCCGCCCCGGTGGGTCCCGTTACCGAACCGCTCATTCCCCGGGCGGGCCCGGCCGCGTTCCTTCCCCGAAGGGTAAAACCGCAACAACGACCGCGGCCCCAACGCTCCGCCGAGGGAACGAACGGGACCACAGGAGCTTCTCCACCGCCCCGGCAGCGCCCTGCGGCCAGGGCACGGCTCGGCTTCGGGCACCGGCGGGGCCGAGGAGCAGCATCCGCTCCAGCCCCACTCTCCGCCGCTCCCGGGCACCGGTGAGAGCCGCACAGGGCCCGGGCGGGCTGCAGCGGCCCGGTTCACCCCCGCTGGTTGCCGGTGCCCGCTTCCCACTGCTCGCTGCCCCAGAGGGGCCGCGGCAGAGGCCTGGCAGCACCGGCGCGGGGAAGGCGGCCGCCCCACGCGTGCCCGCTGCGGGGGATCCACGGGGCCCACCCGGCCTCGTTTCTCCCTGGCACTTACCGGGTCGTCGCCCACCGGTAGCTCTCGCCCCGGCGGCCGCGGGCGCTGCCTCCGGCCCCGGTGCCTCTCGTCCCCCCTTCTCCCCTTCGCCTACCCCCTCGTGTGAATCAAATACCTTCACTACAGCAGCCATGTTGGGCTCCGGTGCGAGCACGGCGCTCGCCGTAGGAACCGCCGGTCTCCTCGGCGGGAGGCAGCACAGATGGGCTCGGCTCAGGAGCCCCGGTTCCCACCGGAGAACCGCAGCCTGGGTATCCCGGCCGATGCCGGCCCCTCTCTCCCATCGCCCCGAGGGATGCCGCGGTGTGCCGCTCCCCGCCAGCCCGGTAACTTCCCACCGTTACCGGTAACGCCACTAACTGCACGTCGCGCACCTGCTCCGCATCTCTCCGGTAGAACCGGCCGCATCCCGGGGCTGCCTTTGAAATAGAAGATGGGGGGAGCCGCCGTTACGTCCGCCTCGCCCGGTGTGCCGGTCCCCGCGGAGCCGCTCGGCCGAGCCCACCTGGGGAGGGAAGAGAGACAAGATTCGTCAAGGAGGAGCCGCCGCCGCCATCGATCCAACTTGGAGCAACTTTCAAGTCCAGGTGGCCGCAGGGGGGTGGATCCCTTGACCGGACAACCTGGGCCGGTCCCGCCGACGGGCAGGGCACAGAGAGACCCAAAGCCGGTCCCTTTGACGCACTATGGAGGGTCAGCACCCACCCGAAGCCCCGGCCGGGCCCGAGCCGGGACGCGGCCTCTGCTGCTGAGGAAATAGAGGAGACCCCCGAGGAGGGGCAGTCCCACACGCGGTGTCTGTCTGCTTGTCTCGGTCTGTCTCGGTCTGTCTGGCTTTACCGAGTGGGAGACGGCCCAGCTCCCCCTCACCGTGGGCACTGGAGCCTCGCACAGGGCACCCGTCGCTGCTCCGGGGCAGCGGAGCCGCTCGCCCGCTCCGGAGCCCTTCGAAAGCAGATTTTTTATCTTTTTTTTTTTTCCTCAGAGATTTTTTCCCTTTTTTTTCCTTTTCATTTTCCCGCCCCATTTTTTTCCTCCTTTTTTTTTTTTTTCTCCTTCCTCCCCCCCCCTCCCGTTTGATCCAACGTTGTCACTGGGAATTATTTGCATTTAAAATACAACAACTCGTTACCCTGCACATCTCTTTACAGCTCAATTCAACCAACACTGGAGAGGACGGGGGCTACCCCGAGGAAAAGGAGTCCCCAAACCCCCGCCTAAATCCATCCGAATTCCTGCCCTGCTGGAAATATCGATGTAGGCAAAAACCAGAGATTTAACAGATAACAGATCTAAACGATTTCCCCTCTGCAGCCGCTGTCACCCAAAGGTGTTGTGGCAACAAAGAGCGGGAGGGGATTTGACGCCCTTATTTTTGGCCTGTTCCCGTGCAGAAATATCCCTCCAAAGAGGAATCTTTGCAAAGGGGAATCTTGCAAATATTGATCTAAAGATTCTGCCCTGCAAAGTGCGTCCAAAGAAAAACTGGGTTTAAATTTACATACACACCCCTCGGTGGCTGTTAAACCCGTCGGAGGAGACGGACAGACGAGGCACCCGCCGAAACGAAGGGCGAGGAGGGTGACTGGGAACCAAACCGCTGCTTTCCCGGTTCAAACCGGGGGGAAACGGTTTCCCCCCGCGCACGGCAGAGATTGCCCTGCTCGGGAAAGGACGTGGCGTGAAATCCCGCCGTGCCCGCCCGGGCAGAACCAGGCGCTTCAGCGCAGCAGCAACCCCCGTTACTTTTCAATAATAATAATAAACCAAGAGAATAAATATATTTAAACCCCTCAGATTCTCCCGAAATGCCGAGTCCGGCCCCGTCCCTTTGGTGGGGAATTTCAATTTTAATGTTATTTACTTTTTTTTTTATTTCTTGGCGCCTGGGCACCAGAGCAGGGCTGGGAGGGCATGGGACGGGGTGCCCACACAACACACCGCCCGAAACAGCACCCTCAGACCCCCGGATTCCCCCCCCCCCCAACCCTCCCCTAAAAACATTAATAATAATAATAACACTAATAGATGCACACCCCGAAACTTGGCTCCGGCAGCCCCTTACCTCGGGCACCGGGCAGGGCAGGGCAGTCGGTCCCACCGGCCCAGGGCTCTAAACCCGGGGGTGTCTTTTGTGAGTTTGCCGGAGTTTCCCCGGGCTGTCCCCTTTTGTGTCCCATTGCCATCTAGAGGCCCCGATTAATTAATTTCACACCGGAGCTCGGGAGAAAATTTTCCCACAAAACAAGTGGCCGAGGAGATGTGAAACCCCAAAGAAAAGGAGTCAACATCAAGTTCAACAGCATGCGGGGAAAGGCCTATTTCCATCACAATCGCGGCTGAGCGGGGGCCGGGCGGGGGGCGGCGGGCGGCGGCCCCCGCGCCCGCCCGCGCGTTCCCAGGCTCGGAACAATCGCGCTCTGTTTGCCTCGCACATGCCGGCGTTTGGGCACGGAGGCTGCCCCGGGATAACGGGAATAATGAGGGGGTGGAGGGGGGGCAAGGGGGGAGAGGGTGATGGAGGGTTGGGAAAAGAGGGGCCGGGGGTGGGGGGGGAAGGAGAAGCGCACCTGGGGACCGGCCGGTACCGACCTGTTGATCCCCGGTCGGGAGTACCCCATTGGAGTTTGCGGCAAGAGACGGGACGGGCAAGAGGGAACCGACGGGCTCGACGGGGTGGGGGGGCCCAAAGCCGGGAGGAGGCAGAGACTGACGCCAGGGTGCGTGGGGGACACCTTTCGCTAAGTTTGGTGCCCCCCCCCCCCCCAGCCCTCTCATCCCCGTTCCCGAACCCATCCCTAGCCACGCGTTTTCCCACAGCCTCGGGGAAGCGGGGGGTGCCTGCCCCGGGGGAGCGGGGGGCCGGGGCCCGGGGTGGCCGAGGCGGTGGTGGACGTGTCCTGCAACCCAAGCAGCTCGGCTCCGCCGGGCATTGTCCCCACGGAGCCCGTGGCCATTGTTCCCTGCGCTGCGGGAGCCGGAGGGAGGGCAGCTTTCCACGCCTCGTCCCGTCCCCCCCCCCCCTCATCTCGCCCCCCATCCCACACTCGCACCGGGCTGCCGGGACCCGCAGCCCCTAATCCGGGAAGGATGGAGGCGGGGTGTGTGTGTGTGTGTGTGTGTGTGTGTGTGTAAAAAGCGCACACACCTCCCCAAAATAACATACCGGGGGGAGGCGCGGGGTCCCCCCTCGCAGACTTCTTCCAAGTTGGGAGAAGCAGGAGGGGAAGCGGGGCTGCTGCCGGTGCCCGCATAGCCCTGCCCCTCCTGCGGGCATCACCGGCAGCCGCCTGCTGCTGCTCGCTCCTGCCCGCTCGTCCCCGCTGCCCCGGCCCGGGGAGTTCAATGCGGGGCAGGGGGAAGGGAAAACCAGCGACAAAAAGAGGGGAGTGGGGGGGATTATTTACCTCCCTCCGCACATCTGCATCCATTAATGACTTAGCGACAGCGGGAGCCGGGAGCCACCGGGACACCGGCAGCCTCCGGGGCGGGGGCTGGGGGAACGCGGCACCGGCAGCGGGCAGGACGCGGAGCCCGGGGACATCCAGGCGATGCGGAGCGCGGCGGAGCCGAGCTGCGGCTCCCGGAGAGGACTGCCAGGGCTGGGGGAAGCGGAGCCCCCCGCGATCACGTTGCCTTTACGTGGGGTTAAACAGATAACGTCTGCACGGGGCTTGAACGCCGGGAGCCCCCCGACCGGGCCCGGGCAGCCTCGACCCGAGGCCGCCGGCTGGTGGGGAGGAGGAAAGGCGGATTCCGCCCAAACATCCATTTTGTCCCCTTTTGGCAATGGAGATGGGAGAGAGGAGGGAAAACGCGATGTGGGTTTTTTTTTCCTTTTTTTTTTTTTTTTCCCTTTGCTTTCTCCATATTTTCCTACGTAAGGAATGACGTCCTCGCGTCGGGAGCAGGATAGGTTAGCCCTGCGCTGTGGGGAATGCACCGGGCTGGGGGGGAGGGCGCGAGGCGGGGGCGGATCTGGCAGCAGAACCTAAAAATAACGGGGATTTTATTATATAAAAAGGAATATAATATATATTATAATAATAATAATCCCGGTGACCCGGCGGATGCGGCCTTGCACGGACAGCGGGAGGCAGGGCCGGATCCGGACCCCACCCGGGGGCCGTCAGGGCTCGGGCTACCCCATAGGGTTTGAGGGGGGAGCGGGGCTAGACCCGGAGCCGAGGGGAAGGGGTTGAGGGGGGTCCTTTTGCCTTTCCCACCCGCCGGATCTGGGGCAGAGGCGGCTGCCGGCGGTCACCCGCTCCGCAGCCGGTGCGGGATCAGTCCGTGGAAATTAAGCACAGATCGGTTAATTTTTAAATGCAAAACAAAATCCCACCCCCCACCCCCCCTCGGACGTTTACACCGCCAAGGTCCGAAGTGACCGGGAACGGGGCCCCGTCACCCTCCCTCCTCCGCTACAATGAGATTTTCCGAGCGCGTTAAAAATCGCTGCCTGCTTCGAGAGGGGTTTGCGCCCCAAATCCGGCCGGGGGGGGACGGGGACCCTCGCAGAAAACCGATCCGCGGAAGGGGCCTGTGCCCGCTACCACCCCGGTGCCCCCCCCACCTCCACGCCCTGACTGCCCCGGTATGGGCCACCCCCGGCCCGGCGCTGCCGGGGAGGCCGCCGGCTCCGTGCTCTACCGTAACCAGCTCCGCTTATGCATTTTCCCTCAACGAATATTCCTCCCGCCGGGGCCGGGGGGAGCCGGGACCCTCTGTCTCGGCCGCCCATCTCCCGTCCCGTCCAACCGGGGCTTCACGGTGGCCCGGGCCGTCCCTGCCGAGCCCGGGTGCAGCAGGAGGCCAGGCCTGCACTTTGGACACCCCAAATCCTGCTGCCGAGCCCGCGGCCGGGGCCTCTCCCGGTAAAAGGCCCTGGGGTGGGAGTCGGCTCCTTCAGACCCCCGGTATCGGCAAGGTCGGTCCCCCTTCCTCGACGGCGGGGGTTTGGGGGTGGGGGGAGGTATTTTGTTTCCCTGATGCCGTTTTGATCAAAAATTCATTAAGAGGCGATCGGCGCAGCGCTATGAATATTTCAGGGCTTTTGCAAAACAACAAAGTGGGTGTCTGGGGGAGGATGCACCGGGAGGGGCAGACCCCGGTGCCCGGCTCGGCCCCGCTTTGCTGCGGCTGAGAGGCGAGGAGGAGTCGGGCATCCCCGTCCCCTCGGGGCCGGAGCTGTGCTAGCTCGCCCCCAGCCCGGGGCTCGTTCCCGCCCCATTACAAGGTGTGAAACGGCTCCGGGTATCCCGGGAGCGGAAATCGACCCCCGGCGGGAGCTCCCAGCCCCGGGGCCGCCGCCACAGCCCGAAGCCGCCTCGGCCCTGGCCACACTCCCGGGGCTGCTTCGTGGGGCTCCGAGGGGACGAACCCACCCCAGCTCCCGCAGCCCGAGACAGGCCCGGGGCCGCCTGGAGGGGGACAGCAGGGGGACCCCATCACCACCCGAGATGTCCTCTCTGTAACACCACGGACCATCGGCTCCCACCCTCCCCGGGCTGCTGATGACAGGGCGCTGCTCCCCCACGGCTCTGAGGAGGGGACGGTGCCCCCCAGACCAACCCACCCGACTGCTGCCCAGCAAGGGAGCACCCTGACTGCAAGGTTCACAGCCCCCAGATCGCGGTGCAGAGCCCCCGACAGCACAGACACCGGGAAAGGTACCAGCACCTACCAGGAGACAAAGCCCCACCGGCTCTGCAGCCCCGAGAGCTGGAGCCCAGCACCCTCCCGGAGCAGCACAGCTCCCTGCCATGCTAGGCCTGCAGGTAACTGGGCTTTACTGGGCAGTCCCGGGCAGCTGGGAAGGGGGCACAGTGACACAGAGGTGGGGAGATGGCCTGGACCCCTCCACCTTGGATCAGGGCTCCGTAGATGCACGGGTGGGCAACACAGAGCGGACACTCTGTCTTCCCAGTGTCACCCTGAGCACTGTCCCCACCCCACAACAAAGCCGGGTGCCAGCTTTGGGTGCAGTGCAATGGGGCACCCCACCTCTGCTGCGCTGGGGGGATGCTCCGCAGGTAGACAGGGGATGACGCGGGGGGCAAAGGGACCTCCCTGCGAGAGCAAAGGAGAGAGGGGGGCACTGCAGGGCACCCCCCACCCCGGCCCCCACCCCGGTTGAGGACCTGTCACAATGGGGTGCTACCGGACCTGCAGGCAGTTGGGGTGGTCAATGTCTCCTGTCGGCTCCCGCGTCTCCCGCCGGTGCCCTCCGGGTCCCTCCAGCCGTCCCCTTGTCCCTGCGGTGGGATGCGGTGAATGTCCCAGGCAGCCCCAACCCTGTCCGGGGCTCACCTCGCCCTGACATTTCCTGGCGCTCCTTCCATGCCAGCGGGTTGCCATAGCAAATCTAAATCTTACAAACAAAACGAGGAGAAAAGCCTTATTAGCATATATTCAAATGAGCCATGCAATAATGCAAACCATAAATCATGCAGTCGTTGCTATTCAATCAGTGTCTCTTACCCCAGCCCCCACACTTTCACCGGGTGTCTCACCTCCTCTTTCCATGCAGAAGCCACTTCCCAGCCCCAAGGGTGGCCCAGGAGGGGACCTGCCAGCTGGGGGGGGGGATCTGAGCTGAGGCTGGATCCAGCCCTGGGCTGCCGGGGCTCCGCACAGCCCCTAATCCTGGCTGGTATTTATGTCGCTCTATTAAACGGGGCAAACTCTTCCCAGGATTAATCTCCCTCCCGTGTTTTAATCTCAGGGCTTGGCCACCAGTAATCCCCCCCCAGGAAGGGGCCCAGTTCAGCGCTGGCGAGTGGCCGGTGCAGAGGGACCACCCTATCCCCACTCAATCCCAGCCTGTGGGTGCCCACACAGCGCTAGGGTGGACCCACATCCCCCCAAAACCAGGGGACGATGGGCACTGCCAAACCCTGCCCCCTTCCTCCTCATCCTCTCAGCAGTGTGGCCATGGCCAGGGCACCTCAGGCCCAACGGGGTCCTCCCCACACACAGCAAGCCCCAAAACCCCGGCCCCAGCCCAGTGGGCTGTAAGAGACACAGCTCAGGGGGGGCAGGTCCCGCCTCCCCACATAACCCCTCACTGACGACCACCTTAAGGGCACATAAGGGGTTTTCCTCCTCCTCGCACCCGCTCCCAGCACTGAGACCCTCAGAGCAGCTTTTTGGGGTGTCCCAGGTTGCTGAGGGATGGGAGCAGCATGGCTGGACCCCAGGGACCTGGCCAGAGCTGAGGGTGAGCTGGCTGTCACCTGCCTTGTTAGTTGGTGACCCTGGAGAGGTGGTGGTGGGACACAGGAGACAGCACCGCTCATCTGAAGTGGGTCAGAGCATGGGGCACTTCTTGCCTTGGGGACGTTAATGACCTGCCACCTCATTAGCCTGCTGCCTGGCCCCAAGAAGCTCACACCAGACACCCCGACACCCCCAGTTCTTTATTGGTGAGAAGATAATAAATAGAAAAGAGCCCCT